GTTTTAAAATAGAGGGAGGTAGATTCAGATTTGATATTAGGAAAAAATTTTTTACCATGAGAGTTGTAGAACACTGGAACAGGTTGCCCAGAGAGGTGGTGGATGCTCCATCCCTGGAGACGTTCAAGGCCAGGTTGGACGAGGCCCTGAGCAACCTGATCTAGTTGGAGATATCCCTGTTCCTTGCAGGGGGGTTGGACTAGATGACCTTTGAAGGTCCCTTCCAGCCCTAACCATTCTATGATTCTATGATTCTATGACTTTTTCTAAAATACTATGCTGACTTCCAAGACTTAATGGTGCTGGCACATTTGTGGTGTCTAATTCATTTGCTAGGCCAAACATAATGCCACATGCTCTTGAGGAATCACACCTGCACTGCACGGACTTCAATATTCCACATGATTTATTTCCTAAATTCACCTAATGCCCCCAGCACAAAAGATTGCGGCACAGACATCAGAAAGAAAAATTGTTTGGCTTTCACCTGAGTTGATCAAGGCACGGGAAATGTTGGGCCCAAATCTTTTCCACTGCAGATCACAAGGCTGCAACATCGGAAAGTTACACCAGTCGACAATGTAACTGTCATATATGTCTCTGGGCTTCCAGGAAATAAAAATGCCATCATCTGTACCATTAACCTGTTCTTCTTTAAGCTCTGAACCACCGAGCTCTACTTCAGTGCCTAGGAATGAACCAAACAGTCTCTATTATTTTCCCGCACGAGCCCTCAGACTCAAAAATGAAGATCAATATAGTTTCTATGCTAAGCTGTTAAAATAGTAATAAAATAGTTGTATTCCTTCTCTATCAGACATATGGGCTCTTTCACACGCTGAAAGCTGATCTCTTTGTATGCTGAAAGCTAACAGCTCAAAGAACACGCAGTAATTATTACTATATATTTGTAAAAGAACTCAACTGCAGAAACTGGAGTCACAAACAGAAAGTCAGAAGAGGTTAATCACACACAGAGTTCCCTGCAAGGTACTACCTGCACCTTCACAGCACCTGCCACAGATCTGAGGCCTCAGTTTAAGGCTAAATGCAGAGACTCTCTGTGGAAAACAGACTCTCTGTTGTAAGGGATGGATCAAGGCACTTCAGCTTAACAGACATACAGCTACCACCCTATAGGCAAAAATACAGTAATAATTTCCAGAAAGCAGTGATATGAGTTAACAGGCCAAATACTTTTTCCCCAAGATGATAAATTGTCACTTAAATAGGTGAAAACAAAACTCTCATAATGGGCAGCTAAACTTAACTGAAAATATTCCTACTATTACCTGTAGCTCTAGGGATGATCAATACTGAAGGAAGTGAATAATTAACATTGTTCTTCGCCGTGACACTGATTCTGTAGGAATGGTCATCAATGGAAATCCTTGTGCTATTCTGGACTGATGAAAAGGAGATGCTTTCAGGATTAGAGCCATCTTCTGCTTTTTCCCAATTTACTTCGTATGAAATACTTCTTCCGTTTGCTCGAAAACTTGGTGCTTGCTGAGGAAAAAATGATGTAGGTAGACACCAACTACTTAGTGAATTTTGCCGAAAAAATATTAGAGGAGCAATGAGAACGTTAAACAACTGATTGGATGTATTATTTCTGTAAGAATATAAACTTTTTTCCATGCATGCATAGACATACTGGTTGAAATGGAAATGGAGAAATCTCAGTAATGGGATTTGTCTTCTTATAATGCTTAGAAAAACAGAAATGCCAGGACAGCACATTATCATACAGCTACATACGTTCTGTAATATATTATATATAATATTTGTCCCAGATTCTTAAAAGATATATTCCTACTGAATTGCTATTAAGTGCACACAAACTTGTTAAAGTTCATGGGAGAAGTTTCCAACCCCTTTTTGAAGGGTTTTGTTTGTTTCTGTGCTCATGACTCACCTTCCAGAACAAGGTCACATTTCGCCCCTGTAAAACTGGTGTGATTTCTCTCCAGATGTCCAGTTTCCCTGATGGAGCTGCAATAAATACAGCAAAACAAAGATGCTCTAGGTGCATCTAGAAAAGATAAACTGTTTAATTGCTTCCTCCCATTTGAAGAAATTCCACTCCTAAAAGCTCTCTTTCCCCATCACTCTCAGGTCTTGTCAAAATATCCTTTAACTTCTTAACTTTTTTTTCCTGAATGAATGTCTGGTTCATTCCCTAGAAAAACCTTTATTTGCTTGCAGTTCCCAGGTGTTTGTTCCCACCTCTGCACAGTTCCTCCAGCCCTCACTGAACACCACAACTAAGTCTGTCCATCCTCCCAGTCATCTGGATTTCCCACAGCCTGCACTGGATGAAATGGCAGAGACTGGCAGATAGGATGAGAGCTGTTTAAGAAGCCACCTTCCTAAAGTTGGCTTGGTATGCCTCTACTTTTATGCATGCATCAGGCCTCTGCTTTAGCTACACAGCAAGTAGCAAACAGTGGTGGCAAGCGAAGAACAGCCTTCAGGCTTCCCTTCTCAATAGGCTGGACGTACCTGCTTCCTTTGTTCTGATGGTTCTGGCTTCGCTCCATTCACTCCACCTCCAGAAATGCTTAGCTGCCCCACAGCGTACTCTAGCTGTGTATTCACTGTATGGCTGCAGCCCAGCCAGGGTGATGCTGGCATAATGGAGATGCCTGTCTGAACTGTTACGCTGTAAGACAGAACAGTAAGAGCTCAGTTCAGCTTCATCAGCAAAAGGTTTTTGTCTCAAAAAATAGCTCCTCCTCTAGATCCTACAATAGCCAGTTGAGCTTGACTTGGAAAAGATAATACTGGAACAATAGTCAAAAAAAAAAAAAAAAGAAAAGATATGCATGAGATCCAAAGACTAACTCTCTGAGTAGGAGTCACTCACCACTCACAACCTGCCAAATGACTACACTTTACATCAAGGAGAGAATTTAGTGAGATCTTATCCTCGCACAGTCTGGGTCTCTTACTCAGTTAATGTAAGTAGGATGCTGTTCCAGCATTATTCACAGTATCTACAGCTACCTTTTTCTTCCATTTTTTTCCCTAACCTTTTCCCCAGCTCCCTCTTAAAAGGCTGGGTGAGTTCTGCTAAGAGTCAAAAACTGAGCATGCTTTTAAGCTTCTGCTTTAAACTGTCACCTGCAATGGTCAACTGCAGCAGCCATTTGATCTATCAGCTCTTGAGCAATACTTAAGACAGAACACAGCTTGCTCCTGATCTTCATAATGCTTTTTAATATGCTAGAGGCAACCTATGCTTACAAGAAAATGGCTTGTAAGAGAAACCACAGTACATATGCAATGAGTCAGTCAGCCTCACTGTTTGTGAAAGAGGTGGAACAAGACAAGGAGTCCATTCAAATAATCTTCAAGGAGATGGAAGAGGATGGGAGGAAAAACTGTTCTGGGGTTCCCTTACTAGAAGACAGACACATTATCATCAAGTACAGTCAATAGTACACAGAAAGCTCCTGTGCTGATATAAAAAAAAAGCCTTCAACACACTCTCTGCCATTTGTGTGTAAGATAATATGAGTCATAAAACCATGACAAATCAAGACTAGCAATCGCTAACAGCAATTATAAGGCCCATAAGTATTTTCATTTACTTCAGCAAATCTCAGAACCCATCCAGCAGAGGACAGAGCCAGATACACAGATAGGTCCCACTGCACACTTCAGCCAGCAGTACAGGCAGTGTTGGGAGTATGGCTCCCACGTGGACCATATCATCAGTGTAGAGCTTGGGAGCAAACAAATCCAGGAAACAAAAACATCAAAACACAAGATTTAGAGTGTATTCGTATTGCTGGGGAATTACTTTTTTAATCTCACTTCAAAAAGATACTCGCTATATTTTTGTGTATGAAATCCAGATTTCATACCAGTTCTACTTTCCCATCAGGTTGGAGCACTTCAGTCTGACAAAAGAGTTCAATTCCTTTGTTTTGATGTTTCCAATATAACGTGATTTCTGTATCTGTGCATTCTTCCCACAGCTGGAAAGGTGCAGCAGGATAAACTGTCAATGGAAAATCTGAGTTAGATCTTGTAAAACATAAAATACATGCAAAAGTGTTTTAAGGTATTTTAGCTGAGTAGTAAAAGCAAATTAGAAATACAGACTTTTCTGCTCGTCTAGGAGAAGCAGACATAAATTAGTAAAAATTAATTTCAGAATATAAATATAAGTAAATGTTATATAGGATTAAAAAAACCCCATCCTTGTGCTGTCTTGGAAATATTTTAGAACATCATGAACAAAAGAAAGAATCAGAGATGAGAGACTTTTATTGTAAATCCAGTAAAATTCCTTAATCCAGTAAAATTCCTTAATCCGGGGCTTGGTAGAAGCTCCTGATGTAGCACAGTGAGTAACGTTTGCCACATTTCTGCACCCCAGAATCCAGCCTCTTCACCAGAAATTTTATTCACAGCTCTTAGCATTGACCCCTGCCAGTAGTTAACCTCCAGTAAACAGAGCCAATGCTACTTCTTCCAAAACGAGACCCCTTACTGGTATTTAAGCAGTATTCAGTGAGAGCAGCAGATCTTAAACTCTCCCATATTATCAGTCCAATTGTAAGGAGTAAGACACGGCAACATGAGTGAGTGGTATATTTATACAGTTTTGGCCATTATCCTAGAACTTCATGGACCATGAATTACAATTGGAGGACTTGAGACTCAAAGGAGTGTGTGTTTGATGCATAAGTCCTAGGTACCACATGCGGAATTGGAAATGATGGACTTCAGTTTTCCTTTACTTGCTGACATCCTTTAAGTAAGGAAAATTCTACTGTAAATATGTCCAGGATCAGACAAAACATAAAGGACTTTACAGCAGTCACTATTTAAAAGGTTAAGTCATCATAAATATTATCTGTAACTTCTTTAACTTGTAACAATCACCAGCACAGGGACAGATAACTAGTAAAAACTGTGAAGACAATAATCAAGGACTTCCGTACTTTAAACTGGGGCACTCAACTATTAAGATCAGAAGGAGGAGGCGCCTGCAACAAAAAACATTCAACAAAGGCATAGGCAAGACCTTACTTCTGTGAGTTACATCAAAAACATCCGTGGCAGTTTTCTTTCCCAGTGGATTTTCCACAGTCACTGTGATATTCCAGATCCTCTGCTGGCCTATATCCCAAGAACACGAGCACCGCTCAGAACAGCTTACTGTGCATAGAACCAGTTTTTGGGAAAACCTATCAAAGAAGGAGTTGGGGAGAGAGAAAAAGAGAGAAAGATGGTTTTCCGTAATGTAGAATTGACACAGATGTTGAAATTTTTGATGCCCAACTAGAATACAACATCATAAAAAATAAGGCTGAGGCCATTGTATGAAGCCACCCAGTTGTTCCCCTAGCCTGAAGGAGGATGCATATAGGTATTCTTACAATTAAAAGAAAGTTTTCTTCAAAGTCTAAGTTTACTTTATCCTTTTAAGATACAGCTAAATTGCTTTTAGTGATTTCCTCATGTAAATTCTCAAGTAGGGACTTATTTGCCAAGAATTAAACCATTCTCATGTCTACCATTATGCTTTTAAATTAAGCAGTAATTTCAACTGCATCTTCTAACCTTCCATTTTAAAATCACCATCATTATATCTTAATGGAAGTGAACGAGGCAGAGACCATGAAGGTATATGCAGTGATGCCTTCTGCTGAGATCTTTTGATGAAAGTTTGTTGACATGATGAGGCACCTGTCCTGTTTCATGAGTTTCCCTTTCTCTGCATGCCCTGCTGTAAATCCCCTGTCCTCTCCATTTAGATGTCTCTGTAGTAAGGAGCCAAGGGCCAGGTCTGATACGCTACAGCTGTGTAACCTTGACTCAGACTGCCAAGAAAGAGCTGTGAGAAATCTGCAGAGAGATTTTACAAAACAAAACAACAACAAAAACAAAGTAAAAAAAGCTGAAATTACAGACAAAAGTAGGATTTTTGAGATAGGATTTTCAGTAGCTCAAGGACTCAAGAAGGAAAACACCAGCATGTAAAGTTATAAAATCCGAAAGAAAAAAGAACTAGGGAGGCTAATCAGGCTTACTGGGCTTAGCTGGGAATCATCAGTTTGAGTCAGCCTTTAGCGTCAACAGATTGTGAACACATTAATACTCCGCCTACCAGCTGATTAAATCCTAGTTATCTGTTGTGTGTGTTATCCAATACTTACATTATACTTTTAAGTTACCTATATCCTGACTGCAGGCTGTCTACTTACCTACTGAAAGATACCCAAACAAATTAACCCAAAAGAACGGTAATAACAACCTTTATCAAGCAGAACCTGGTCCGATGGACCCGCAACTTTGGTATAGGTAGTCTAACTCAGAGCACTTCTGCACTGCTCAAACTCTGTTAAATAAGCTGATCAGTGAGATGGAAAGAGGCAGGCAGCTAATTGCAATAAGGATAAAAAACATTTCCACAGATTTTAAAGGAAATAATGTGACTGTTCTGTACAGCACAGGCCAGAGTTAATATAACAATGAGAGTTACCCTTCAGACAAGGTGTATTTTGGTGAATGACGTCCATAAAGATAGGTGTCTCTTCCTCGGCTCCAAGTACATGTTACTCTTCTTATGTCTTGAGTTTCGCAGGAAAAATCCTTGGGTGCATCAGGTGGTTCTTTTCAGAGGCAATAACCAAGAAAACACCAACAGCATGGCAGTCAAGGCAAAAGTCATCAACCTTTTTACTGTACTAACAAACTACAAATAATGGATACGTACAAAGTCTGATTTACTAATAGATGTTACTATTCCAATTATAGTTATTCAATAACCACTCTGCAGAGAAAATCTGACTAACATCATAAATTAATTGCAACCTAAGCACTTCTGTATGTTATAATTTTTGTTACATTCATACGTTTATTAATTTAATCTGTATTGGGGCCAGTGAGAACCTCATGAAGTTCAACAAGGCCAAGCGCAAGGTCCTGCACGTGGGTCAGGGCAATCCCAAGCACAAGTACAGGCTGGGCGGAGAATGGATTGAGAGCAGCCCTGAGGAAAAGGACTTGGGAGTGCTGGTGGATGAGAAGCTCAGCATGAGGCGGCAATGTGCACTGGCAGCCCAGAAAGCCAACCATATCCTGGGCTTCATCAAAAGGAGCATGGCCAGCAGGTCGAGGGAGCTGATTCTGCCCCTCTACTCTGCTCTCGTGAGACCCCACCTGGAATACTGCATTCATCTCTGGAGTCCCCAACACAAGAAGGACATGGAGCCGCTGGAGCACGTCCAGAGGAGGGCCACGAAGATGATCCGAGGGCTGGAGCACCTCTGCTATGAAGACAGGCTGAGAGAGTTGGGGAAGGGAAGACTCTGGGATGATCTTATTGCAGCCTTCCAGTACTTAAAGGGGGCCTACAGGAAAGCTGGAGAGGGACTCTTTACAAGGGCGTGTAGTGATAGGACAAGGGGCAATGGCTTTAAACTGAAAGAGGGGAGATTTAGATTAGATATAAGGAAGAAATTCTTCACTCTGAGGTTGGTGAGGCACTGGAACAGGTTGCCCAGAGAAGTTGTGGATGCCCCATCCCTGGAAGTGTTCAAGGCCAGGTTGCATGAGGCTTTGAGCAATCTGATCTAGGGGAAGGTGTCCCTGCTCATTGCAGGGGGGTTGGGCTAGATGACCTTTAAAAGTCCCTTCCAACCCAAACCATTCTATGATTCTATTGTTTTCTTTCTGTAAAAATGGCTACTAGCCTGAGAAAGGAGGACTGTGCTGAGTTTTTACCATATTGTACAGAGACAATGAAGCTGAACTCCTAAACAGGTAAGCATATTTAAAAATCAGTCACCTGTCGTAGGATCAATTGGTGAGATTAATCTGAACGCATTTAATGCTATTCTTTAATGCTTTCTGTATGATACGATGGGATACAGACAACTTACAGCAAGCTTTTTTTTTTTCTCCCCTATTCCTCACAGTCATTCTTGACTTAATTACAATAGGAAAATAGAGCTGTAATAAAGCATTCACTTACTACCCACAAAGAAAACTGCATGATCATAGCATTGCTCTTCACTGCAGGACTCTTGACAGTAGACCGTGATGTGAGGCACTCCTTGATGAGACACATTTTTCACAGTGAGAAGTCCGACTTGACTGTTTGTGTGATTGAAAACATGTACAGCTGGGATTAGAAAGAATTCCTTAATGATATGACCTTTCCTTCCAATGCAACAAAGAGTGATGTCAGAGCCTTCCTCTACAATTTTTTCATTTGGAAAGATTTGTGGTCCAGTGTTCTTTGAAGTGTCCAGGCCTGCAAATCAATACATAATAAACCATTTTGAAATCTGCTCATGGCAGCAGCCTTCAACCAGAACACACAGTGAAGTATTAACACAAGGATCTGCTAATGTTACTTTATCCATTCATGGACTTTGATTTAGTATTCTTCCCCATACAGAGATCAACTTCTCTTAAACCCATAAACATAGAATGTAGTCCAACAAACTACCTATGAGGCTAAATCTATCTCACTGCCTTCCACTTAGGGGAAACAAAGAGTGTGCATTCCAGAATTGCCTTTACAGGTGAACACTACCTTCTGCCCCTATGAACAGGCTGATGCTTACAGCCAAAATGCCTGTTCTTGAAGATTATGAGCAGGGGGCTAGAAAACATTGTGTTCTCAAGCTCATGAAGAGCTCAGCTAAGAAGAGACAATATTGAATTAATCAAGTCAGTATGGGGATACCCAACTTAGAATGAGACTCCTATCAATGTTGGACTCCTTGCTGGATGCAAAAATTAGTGGGATTTAAGTGATTCACGGGCTTTTGCACAAGTTGGAGATAAAATCTACTCTCAATGAATCTGATCCAAAAATCTGGTGAACTCTAGAGTCATTATCTTTCAAAGAGCAGTAAATCAAGTCTGTAACGCAGGATTAGTTTGTGACAAAGTAATAGTATTTTGATCCCTATCTAACTTCAGTTGAAAAAATGAAAACTCCAAGATTAAGGTTAGCAAGAAAGAAAGGAGAGTCTTGCATCCTATTTTTCATTATATAAGCTGAGGGAGATGAGCAATTTTTGCCCATGCACAGGCAGTGGAAGCAGAGACAGTATCTTGGGAAGAGGATAGAGATGCTGCCCAGTTGTGTAGGGATGGGGCCAGGAAGGCCAAGGCTCAGCTAGAGCTGAACTTGGCAAGGAACACAAAGAATAATAAGAAGGGCTTCTGTAGGCATGTGAGCCAGAAAACGAAGGTCAAAGAAAGCATACCCACCCTGATGAACATGACTGACAAACTGGTAAGAATGGACAAGGCAGCGGCTGAGGTACTCAATAACTTTTTTGCCTCAGCCTTCACTGAGGCTCTCTTCCCACACCTCTTGAGTGGATGGACCGCAAGGCAGGGACTAGGGCAGCAAAGTCCCTCCCACTGTCAGAGAAGGTCAGGTTTGAGACTTCCTTAGGAACCTGAATATACAGAAGTCTATGGGACCTGATGAGATGCATCCCAGAGTCCTGAGGGAAATGGCTAATGTAGTTTCCAAGCCACGCTCCATGATATTCGAAAAGTCATGGCAGTCAGGTGAAGCCTCTGGTGACTGGAAAAAAGGGAAACATGGCACCCATTTTTAAAAAGGAGTAAAAAGCTGTACCTTGGGAACTACCGAACTGTCAGCCTCGCCTCTGTGCCTGGAAATATCATGGAACAGATTGTCCTCGAAGCCATGCTAAGGCATATGGAGGACAGGGAAGTGATTTGAGTCAGCCAGCATGGCTTCACCAAGGGCAAGTCCTGCCTGACCAACCTGGTGGCCTTCTATGTTGGAGTGACTACATCAGTGGAGAAGGGAGGAGCTACAGTTGTCATCTATCTGGACTTCTGTAAGGCCTTTGACACAGCCCCCCACAGCATCCTCTCTCTAAACTGGAGAGATGGATCTGATGGATGGATTCTGTATAGCGAATAAGGAATTGGCTGGATAGTCACATTTACAAAAAAGGGCGGAAGGAGGATCAGAGGAACTACAGGCCTGTCAGTCTGACCTCGGTGACGGGCAAAGTCATGGAACAGGTTATCTTGAGTGCTATTAATGAGCACATACAGGTTAACCGGGTGATCAGGCCCAGTCAACATGGGTTTATGAAAGGCAGGTCTTGCCAATCAAACCTGATCACCTTCTATGACGGGGTGACCCTCCTGGTTGACGAGGGAAGGGCTGTGGATGTAGTTTTCCTTGACCTCAGTAAAGCCTTTGATACAG